CACGCACGCGCCCGCGCGCGCGCGCACACACACACACACACACACACACACACACACACACACACACGACGCGCGACGAGGAAAAAGCGGCGCGGCGAGACGATGATACGCTGCGCGATACATGTATACGTATATGCGCACGTATGATAGACGGGACGGACGTCTACACGGTTCTGGGTCGCGCGTATACAGCCAGCTTTCGATGACACGATAAATGGGGCGGAAAGACAATGTGAATTATTGCGAACGTTCAATTAATTGGATGTGAGAAAAAAAATCTTCCAGATACACAGCGACAAAGACAGTAAGCTTCATTATTGGAGCGGTAGTTGCTAGTCTTAAGTCTGCTTAAATCCGCTTAAAATCGGTAATCAAGAGACGCATCGTCGTGATGTAATTACGTAAAAGACGCCGCCGGTCGAATTCTCACGCATTAAATATAAAGAAACGACGTCACGCACTTGCACGACTTACATTTCCCATTCCCCTATCGTGCCTAGTAAGGGTGGGAAAGGGAGACGGAGAGGAAGTAGAGAGCGCGCGGCACTAATGAGCCTCGTCTCTCGTTGCGGTGCGTAATGTCTTGCCGCCGCCGCCGCGCCGTCGTGAATTCGCTCCGTCACCTCGCAGGTCGTGCACCGCCACCGTCAACGACACGCCCGGGAGCGTGTCGTCGCGTCGCGCCGAGCCGCGCGCAAACACGCGCACGCAACAAACACGCGCACGCGAGGCGACACGCGGCCTTGGCAGTTCCGCCTGGGCGCGTCTCAGCCTAGCCACCGCGGTCGATCTAACCGCGGCGTGGCCCGACTCGACGTGGCTCGGCGTGGCTCGGCGTGACGGCGACGCGGTACGACGCGACGCGCACGCAAAAAGCTTCGGAACGCCTTTCCCTCTTTCTCCGCTCCGGCGCGTCCGCTACCGCCGTCTTCGCTCGCCGTCTCTCCTCCTCCTCTTTCTCTTTCTCCTTTTTCTCCGTCCGCCTCGTCGCCGAAGAGCTCTTGCGGGTCTTCGCCGTGGGACAAAATAGTCTCGCCTTTCTCGGCCGCTTTTGCCCCGCGGCTGCTACTCCTCCGGCGCGGCGTCTCCGTCGTGTTTCCATCCTCCTTCTCCTCATACGTCTCGCCGCCGTCGCTGCTCTCGGGTGTCGGTTCCGCGCTTTCTGAGAGCGAGGAGAGCGGCCGAGCGACCGACCGACCGAGCGACCGACCGACCAGCCAATGAGCCAACCGACCGCCCGGCGTCTGCGAGAATAATGGGCTTGACGTTCCTGAGTGGGTTCCTCGGCGATCCGGATATGTGTATACGCTTACATGTGGCGGTGTGCCCGCACTTCGTAGGTGGTTTATATATATAGGTGGATGGATACGCGCGCACACAACGGGATGAGCGTTTTCTCGCGACGAGCCGCCGGATTTTCTTTCTTTTTATATTAATATCGTATATTTAAGATAATATTATAAATACTGTTTAAAATAGATTAGAGTAGAGTAGATTGGAGCAATTTTTACGTCGATTTTCATTTTTTTAAGCAGAACACTTCCAAGTTTAAATAAAAACGAAAATTGGGCATGAAACACAATTTGCGAAGCGGATAAGTCAATCAATTGATGCCGCGCGGATTAAATCGACAGAGATTTTCTAAAATCGATCTCTTTACGGTGTTCAGCTTATGATTTACAATGTCAGACTCCGACATGAATTCTAATCACTGGCAGAATAAAACGTATTTCTCTTGATTACGACGCGATACGTATGGAAATATATATTTTTTCCAAGAGATTTATATGTTTGCGGATTAGTTCGATATATCTCCCTGAAATTCGTGCAGCCTGGCCTAGGACGTTGACGGCAGGAAATTCTCGATCGGTGAAAATTAACGTTGACGTCATTCGCGCGCGTAGGTGTAACGCATATCCGCAATATTAATATCAGTTAAAATCGAGTAACACGCCGAGCTGCGAGAGAAACTTGCGAGCAAGCGAATGAATTGTCGAGATACATATCGTTGCCGAGATGTCATTCATGGAAAAAAAAACGCTCGAGAAACTTAATCTCAAAATTCATACGTGCCTGCATCGAGAGAGATTAGAGCACGAGGGACGATAAACGCCGGCGCGGCGTTTTCCCCTCCCGAATATACGGTACGAATATACCTTCTGTTCTTCCGACGACACCCGGTAGGTGCGGTCAAGCGAGTTCCAGACGGCACGTTTCGCAGCGGCGAGCCCGGCTCGAGGCGCGGTATGTAAGTATATATATGTCCATCTATCTACCCAGCGGCGTGCGAGCCTTGCCTTGTGTGGGATTCCCACAGTAGGATGGACTCTCCGCGTCATCGCGTGGCCGCCGCGCCGGCCGCCTACGGCGTGTCCCGAAAGTTTTCGTCGTAAATCAAGCCGGTCGCGGTGCGGTGCGGTGCGCGCGCCGAGCTTTGCAGCGCGCTCGCGATCGCCCGCTGCGACTTCGATTCGATCCGGCGAGCTATCATTCGCCGTTACGTAGCTAGGATGAAGGTGAAGGAGGTACGAACGGAAAGATGACAATTAGATAAGATTAACAAAAGATTAACTAGCTGAACGTACCGCACGATTAAATCTTGAGTTAAATTCCGTCGACGTAAGACCTAACGACGAGTTTCCGACGAATTTTCCATCTCGCGGAAGCGCGAAACTTGCGTTATCCATCCACGTTACGTACTTTTGACGCAGCTTCATAGAAACGTTAGTTTAAATTATCAGATTCTAATAATCGACAGCAAATTAACTGTTTTAAACCAACTGCTTTAAAAATCCTTCTAATCTATCCTGCTCTAATCTATTTTAAACAATATATTTATAATAATATCTTAAATATCCGACTTCGTGAGCCTCGCGGAAAGCGCACGATAACTGCAAAACGATGCGTGACAGAGGCGATTCAAGTGACTTTCCGCCGACGAGTACGGAATCCACTCCGCAACGCCACGTCTTCCTCGATGACACCGTCTTCCGACAAGGACGTCGTCCGACCGCTACCTGAAGCGGACGTAGGCGAGATTACTTGGAAAGAAGTTTCCTTCTCTCGCTGGCTGCACCGTGCCGAGAAAGTCGCCGCAATGAGCGCGTACGAATCGCCGGATAAGTACCAGCACGCGCAAGGAGTTGGATCGTCTGTCCCCCTCGTCAGCCTCATCTTTCTCCTCTCGTCCGGCTACTTCTCACGCATCAGAGCGACCTTTCGCGTTCATGGAATCTCGTGCGATTCCATCGACTCTCCTCCCGCGTGCGAACACACCGGGCAGCACGCGAGCAGGCTCGCTCCGGGCGGGAAAAAGGGATGTCGAGGAGGGAAGAAGGGAGAGAAGGAGAGCGCTCGACGAGCAAGAAGAGGCGGCCTCCTTATTCGAAGGCATATACCTAACTAGGAGAGCCCCGAGTACGGGCTACGTATTACGCGGATGCTATTATTCTTGACGCGCGCACGGCGGAGAGCACGATGAAAAATACCTCGCTCCCTCGCTCGGCCGTGACTCCGCGATGCACGGTGGAGCCGTTGCTTATCGATGCCCCGGGTCGATACGAGGCGGCGGAGAGAGCGGCGGTAACAACGTCGCGCGCGCACGGCGAATCGGGTTTTTAAATTAAAAACTCGCTCGCTAATTCCGCCCGTTTCGCGTCCGGCTCCGGCTGAAACTCGCGGCTAGCCGAGCATAGGCGAGAGGGACCCGAGGGAAAAAAACTGACATTTTCCTACGAGAACGCGGAAAACTATCGCGAGATATATCATATTGTGATATACCGATGTAGAGGAAAAAATTCACGCGCACATGTGATTCAGGATGATTCCGTTTGACACGGCGCTGTTTTTCTTTTAATTGTAGATGCGTTAGTTGTATCGATGCGCGAACGCGCCTGATTGGCACTTAAAAGTTTTTGTATAAAAGTTTGCCGCTAAATTATTTCCTTCTCTCAATTCGGAATTCTAAATAAAGACTATATGTATATGAGGAAGATTCCTCTGTCTCGCTTTCAGAATTTTTGCTACGACTATTTTATATATGCTAAACTCTTCTTTTTGTATGCAGCATATATAAATATCTCCTGCATTTTTTAGCGGCAAATATCGAGACTTCTCTTTGTCACGTGTAACATATACACCAGCAAGAGGATCCGTTTATAAAATTATTCTGTTCCATCAAATTAAGAAGTAAGATTCAAAATACAGAAAGCCCGAATGGCGCGAAATCAATGCGGTCAAAGAGGATCCGCACATTTCGCGGCTCCCTATGTACAATATGACGCAAATATAAAAGCATTTAATTAAACGATTTAATTATCCCTTTATTTTTCGAAAGGGCAGGAGAGACCCGATATTTGGCGCGCGGCTTCATTACGTTATACGAAGCACCTGCCATGAACGCGCCGCGTTAATCGTCCTCGCGCGTCGCGACGCGCGCGTTGTCTCTCCCTTCCTCCTCTTACCTACCCTTCGGCGCAATCAAAAAGTACGCGGGTCGAAATAATGACCGTTACATTCGAAACTCCACGATTTTAGCGGGAGCACGCGTCGGAGGGGCGGCTCGACCGAGGCCCGCCGTCACTCTCCTCGCGTGCATGCACGCACGCTCGTTCACTCGCTCGCACATTCGCTCATCCATACCTTCGCGAGCAGCGTACGCGCGGCCTCGCGTTCAGTCTCGTTCGCACGCACGCCTCTCGGCGAGCCAGCCGCGCGCGCGTGTGAGTAACGCGCTTCGTGGCGCGCGTGCCGACGACGACGAGGCCGTCTCGCTCCCTCACGGCTTTCCGTCGCATGCCTCGTCGCCACCCCCGCGCGCGTCTCTCTCGCTACGCTCGGTTCGGTTCCCTCGTGCCCCGTTCCCCACCGGAGCTGCCTGCGTCCCGAGGGCTCATCGCTTCGGCGAGCCGGACGGCGGCACGGTTTGAGCTCCCACCGCCACGCCGCCTCTCCCGTTCTCTCTCCCTCTCCCTCTCTTTGTCCCCCTTTCGTCTACCTACCGACCACGGCCCGTCGCCTCGGCGCTTTTTGCTCCTCTTCCTCCACTTCACCTCCTACTCTTGCGGTCGTTTCGTCGCACACGACGTGCCGCCGTCGCCCGTCGCCGTCGCCGTCACCGTCGCCGCTGACTTTTCGCGCGCGTTTACGAGACGGGGGAGATTAAAGGCCGACGCGCGCGCGGAACCCCGACGATCCTTATCGCGTGCCGCGCAGCGTGATGCGTAGAAGCGCGCGCGACTCTTCTTTTTCATAGCCTGATGGCCGTTACTAACGTGAATCGCACGCGACTTACCATTTACGTTGATACGTAGATCGATATCGGCGATCCGTTAAATGTCAGCGATACATTCCGCGGATAGTCGCTGGGCAAACGGAAAAACGCGGGGATCGCGCTTGAAGCAAAAATTCATTCATCTTTTATTACTACGTAACTTTCGTAAATTATATAAGAGAGAGTTGACACTTTAAATTATTTAATTTTCCAATTCAAAATTTTAAATATCTAGCTGATGTATACTTCTGTCCCTATCTATTTCCGCTACAATTATTTCGATATATATATTAAATTGTATCGTTATGCATATATATGTTGTATTTTTGGCAATTAATGAACAAATATCAAAAGTTTTTTTTTG